ATTTATAATGGTAATAGGACAAGTGATTAACAAATTTGGATGATCACAAACCAGGAGTCAGGTGAATGTACTTCATGTATGATTACAGACCAAACTGGACAACACAGAGTCCTCTTACCAATTAATCATAACCATGTTTAATTTCCAAGAAAGTATTTCCACTAGAGACATTGTCTAAACTAAAAAAATCCTCAATTTTGGAAGTGCCCCACTTTGGTTGGGTAAATGGTTGCTGCTATGGTTGTAATCAATTCTGTGATTGGTGGATTTAGCTGAGCGGGTATAGCATCATTGGCTGCTTAACCTGTCCAATACCAGCCAACTGTTGGATTACACTGTCCAATTACAAATCTATGAAATAATTAGTGAAACTACAAACTAATATACCAATCACAGCTGCGGAAATTGTACTGATTATGGTATTATTACAGGAAAAACTGCTACTTCTCCCTGAATTGCATGCTAAACCATTACAATACTAAGCTCCAAACGTTTGTAGAGTTTTCTTGAAAGTTTGTTAAACTTTCACACCTAAATCTTAGTGAAAATTATCCCCATTGTTTGGCATACATTTCCAACAAAGTTTGTTTTGAAAATTTGATGTGCAATGAAAGTGATTATCTTCATGTAATAGTTTTTGCTTTTCTCATCTGTTTGCTGTTTACTATTGTATTGATACTGTAAGGAGAAATTATTTCGTTGTCACTCACGAGTTACAGAGTGAGTAAATGGGTTTAAACTTACTAGAAATTTTATACTTTCAAGAGGATTGAAAAACCTAACCCTAATGTGTAACTTCATAAGAACGCAGCATAGGGACATGGTCGGCTTAAACCTAAGACCTGTCAGAGGTATACCTTGAAGGCAATATATTAATTCTTTTAACTTTAAAATCTTTGCAATATTTTAAATGATTTGCTTCTGAACTGACCAATCCTCACCAAGAAATCATCTAAGAAACCAGACCAGGGAAACTTCTTAAAGATCTCACCTCAACACTATTTTCATCACTGGGCCAGCCCAATTTTTCATAGAACACAGTGACTTGCAGATTTTGCCTTCATAACTGCGGGTAAACTGAACTTAAAATTTCCCCAAGAAATTAAATGTAATGAAAGAATATATAAAACAGAGGGCAAATTTTGTCTTACGTACCACAACAGCTTACTTGCCAGGCTCATGTGAGCTGGCCCTTGGAGATTTCATAGTCAAGTGTCATGCACTTTACATAAGAGAAGAATCCCATAAACCTATACATGTATCTTGCATTTACTCCATCTCACATCCCGAGGAGTAAGTAGAGTTCCTTTAAGATGACACAGTACTGGATGACAATGTATCATGGCGGGCGTTTTCATGGTATAGCTTAAAATCAATAGTATCCATCGTTATTTGTTTGTCCATGTCCTCTTGTCTTTCCTTAATGGCGGTGATTTCTAAACTGGATCCATGAGTTTCAGCCAGGGACAATGCTTGGTTTGCATCCCTTTGTGTCGCCTGTAGATCGCCAAGCCTGTAATTCAGGTCTGACTTGGCCACAAAGAATTGTATCTTTTGTCGCTCGCTAATTTCATTCGGATAATTCTCTTGAACTTTTTCAAGATAGGTCTCCGCATCTGCGATGCTTTGACTACTGGTCAGTTCTTTCCGGGCTGCTCTTGTGTGGCAATTCAGGTCCAGCAGAGCTAGTTTAAGCAGCCCAGAGATTTGTTTTTTAATGTAAATGCCGCTATTATCGAGTTCAATGCAGATTGTTATGCACAGCCTCATATGTTCCTTAGACTGTTTAACTAGCTTTCTGCGTAAAGACCGATCAAGTGAAACAGAAGAAATGTATTTGATCAAACTGCTAGCCTTTTCATAGAATATCAGGGCTGTTAAGAAGCGCGAGTTTACTCTTTGCGAGTTCTGATCAGCAATTGTAATTTTTGAGTGTGCATTTCCGTGCTTGTTCTGTCGTCGGTAAAAGCCGGCGAGGTGTAGATTTGCCATAGATACCAGGAAGTAGAACATCTCATCTTTCACTTTCGATTTCGAGAGGGTGTCCAAAGCTTCTTGGACCATCACTTCTGCCTTCTCCAAGTTGTTCTGATAACTGACGACGACACTTTTTTCAATGAGGATTAATATTTCAAGTTCGTCATCGCCTTTACTAGCCAAAAGGACGCGATCTGCGAGGCTATTATACTCCCTGAAATTTCCACTGTCTCGTAAACGATGCAGATTGTTCAAAACAGAATGGAATTTCTTCATCGAGATTTCAAATCCGCGATCGCTTTCCCCCGAAACAGTTCGGAGAATTTCTGTTCCATAACAAGTATCTTCATCGCTGTCGCTTGAAATAGTTCTAAAGGAAAATTTTGGATTGGCACGGTGTTTGCGTTGTGGGAATCTAATTTTGGTTTGCTTCCTCTTTGTTCCCGTCCATTCACCATCGTGGTTTACTATTCCTTGGGTAGCTGTTCCTGAGCTAGAATATGTGCGTTGCTTAGGATAGTCAAGTCGCCGACGGCATGAGCTTGTATACATAGTGTTTCCATCTCCAATTACCAAGGTTTCAATATTGCAATTGGAAATGTTGATGTTACAGATTGCGTTTCCTTGAGAGCTTCGTTGATAGACCGCCATTATTATTTTCGTCAAGGCGCGAGAACATCACAGGATATGATGTCACTGGATTAACGGATTTTGATTGGCTCGGTGGAACTGTTGCGCCTGCAGTAAACAAAGGTAAAAATCGGAACTAAATTATTCGAAGATTTTGGCGGTATGTTTTGGCAATATTTTCGAGCTACGTTGTATATGTCCTGTAGGATTTCATTATTTGTCAATTGCCCCGAGAGGAGTATAGAGAGTTGCTTTTAATGGATCAAAAAATGAACTACTCGCAAGTAATTGTGCATTCTGGCTCTGATCTATAATTTCTACTCATGAATCATTAAGAACCAGGATAATAATAACTTAGTGAGATCAATTCAAGATGGTTCTTGTTCGCATCTTGCGAACCGTCACAGAAAAAAAAAAATTATTTCGAAACAAATATGTTAAAGTAAATTTATTTATATTCATTATTACAAAGTTGATTCTAGTTCTTTTATCGCTTCCGAAAATTTGCTAACACTTACATGAAAGTTCAGATATGAAACAACACTTAATTTCAATAATGCTGCTTTAATGCATATAAAAGTAATAACGATACAGTTTGCTTTAATTTAACGTGGGAACTTAAAACTGACGAAGATTACAGTTAAAAGTTAACATTTTGATGTCAGTAGTGAAATGATATGTAGTTTCAATGTTTTTATGCAGATTATAACTACCACAATATAATACCTCAAGCTGTTTACCCTTTAACTCCCATAAGTGATTAACATTTATCTTCTCTCCATAACATCCACACATTATCCAGCAACCATGTAATAAGAATACTCAAACTTTTTAGGTAGAAGTTAGTAGTCTTGATCTAACACAAAATTCTCGTGACTTATTAACAAGGAAATGTGTAGCAGCTAGAGGTAAGAATTAACAATCAGATCTTGGGAGTTAAGGGGTTAACAACCATGAGACTGTTAAGGTGTGCTTTACCAAGTTGTTGATGTAATTGAGACCATTTGCAAGAAAAGGAGAGACAAAACTGATGAGTGGAAATGAAAAAAAAGCCTTCTCCAAGTTGAAAAGAAACAAGTATTGCATTATAAGCTGAAGATACATTCAACAGTAAGCTACAAACATGCAAATGCCATCAACGTTCTGTGTATTCACTCAATTATCAAATCAGGATGGCAATGTCATCGATGGTTCTAAATTTCCAAACTTCTACTCGGCTTATAAACCTGCATATACACGTGACGATGTCTGTTTTAAGTATTTATTTATTTAGCTTCGCCGGACAAGAATACAATACCTATGTATGTGAAATAAATTATGAGGTGTGGAGACCACTACAGCTTAGCTTACAGTGGATCCCTTGTGTAAGATTGACAACAAGCGACCTTTTTTTCTTACAAATTTTGGGCTTTTCTTCACTCTGTGTGCAATGTAGGATTACAGAAAGTGCTACGATGCCCACCTTACTTAGTCAATGTCACAATTAGTGCAAAATGTATTTACAAGTTTTTTGTATTGATACTGTAAGGAGAACTTATGTCTTTGTCACTCATGGGAACAAAAGGGGTTTAAAGTCATTATAAAATTTATACTTCTTAGTGGAGTAAAACACTTGAGCCTAATGACTGTGTAACTTCATAAGAACACAGCATGGGGACCTGGTCAACTTAGACCTAAGACCTTAAGATTGTCAGAGGTTTACCTTGGAGGCAAAAAAATGTTTTAACTTTCTTTGCAAGATTTTAAATGATTTGCTTTTGAACTGACTAATCCTCACTACAGCCATTTCAGTTTCAGTCACTATTTACAAATTCTTTGTGGTTTATATCATTAATGCTTCATATGGGTAGATTCTTATTGCAGATTTCTGTACTATGCTATTTCGATAGAGGTGAATAGAAACTAAAAAGGGGCTGTAATTCTAACATTTTGGGAGAGGTTCTTGTAACTGTATGGTCAACAAGACCAAGATCAGATTCAAAGATCTCGTCTTAGCACTACTTTCATTACCATGCTGGCCCAGTGTTTCTCAGAACGCAGTTTTAGCCTGAAAATCTCAGTAATCAGGTTAAAGAAACTTCTCAAAGATCTCACCTCAACTCTATTTTCATCACCTGGCTGGCCCAATTTGTCAAAGAACACAGTGACTTGTAACACTCTAGCATGGCTAGTAGAACAAAACTCTGCAGATTTTGCCTTCATAACTGCAGGTAAACTGAACTAAAAATTTCCCCATGAAATTAAATGTAATGAGAGAATGTATATAACAGAGGACAAATTTTGTGTTACATACCCCAGCAGCTCACTTGTCAGGCTCTTGGACATTTCATAGTCAAGTGGCATACACTTTACACTAGGGAAGCATCACATAAACCTGTACATGCATCTTGCATCTACTCCATCTCACATCCCGAGGAGCAAAAAGAGTTCCTTTGAGATGAAAAAGTAGCGGATGACAATGTATCATGGCGGGCGTTTTCATGGGATGGTACAAAATCCATAGTTTCCTCCGATGTTATTTCTTTGTCCATATCTTCTTGTCTTTCCTTAATGGCGGTGATTTCTAAACTAAATCCATGGTTTTCAGCAAGGGACAATGCTTGGCTTGCATCCCTTTGTGCTGCCCGCAGATCTCCAAGCCTGTAATTCAGGTCTGACTTGGCCACAAAGAACTGTATCTTTTGTCCCTCGCTCATTTCATTCTGATAATCGTGAACTTTTTGAAGGCTGGTCTTCGCATTTGCGATGCTGTTAATACTGGTCCGTTGTTTCCGGGCTGCTCTTGTGCGGCAATTCAGGTCTAGCAGAGCTAGTTTAAGTAACCCAAAGTGGTGTTTTTTAATGTAAATGTTGCCACCATCGAGTTCAGTGCAGAGGGTTATGCACTGCTTCATTTGGTCCTTCGACTGTTCAACTAACTTTCTGCGTAAAGACCGATCAAGTGAAACAGAAGAAATGTACTTGGTCAAATTACTAGCCTTTTCATAAAATATCAGGGCTGTTAAGAAGCGCGAATTTACTCTTTGCGAATTCTGATCGGCAATTGTAATTTTGGAGTGTGCATATCCGTGCTTGTTCTGTCGTCGGTAAAAGCCGGCGAGGTGTAGATTTGCCATAGATACCAGGAAGTAGAACATCTTCTCTTTCACTTTCGATTTCAGGAGGGTGTCCAAAGCTTCTTGGACCATCATTTCTGCCTTCTCCAAGTTGTTCTGATAACTGACGACGACGCTTTTTTCAATGAGGATTAAGATTTCAAAGGCGTCATCGCCTTTGCTAGCTAAAAGGAAGCGATCTGCGAGGCTATTAAAGTCTTTGAAATTTCCACTGTCTCGTAGAGGATGCAGATTGTTCAAAACAGAATGGAATTTCTTCATCAAGATTTCAAATCCGCGATCGCATTCCCCCGAAACAGTTGGGAAAATTTCCGGTCCATAAAAAGTATCTTCGCTGTCGCTTGAAGTACTTTTAAAAGAAAATTTTGGATCGGCTCGATGTTTGCGTTGTGGGAATCTAATTTTGGTTTGCTTCCTCTTTGTTCCCCTCCATTCGCCGTTGTGGTTTGTTATTCCTGGGGTCGCTGTTCTTCCTGACGTAGAATATGTGCGTTGCTTAGGATAGTCAAGTCGCCGACGGCATGAGCATGTATTCACAGTGTTTCCATCTCCATTTACCAAGGTTCCAATATGGCAATTGAAAATGTTGATGTTCCTGATTGCGTTTTCTTGAGAGCTTCGTTGATAGACCGCCATTATTATGTTCACTGAAGCGTGGGAAGATCACAGGAGATGATGTCACTGGATTAACGGATTTTGATTGGTTCGGTTGAACTGTTGCGCCTGCGGACAAAAGTAAAAACTATGAAGTAAATTAATTCGAAGATTTTGGCGGTATGTTTTGGCGATATTTTCGAGCTACGTTATATATGTCCTGCAGGATTTCATTGTTTGTCAATTGCCCCAAGAGGAGTATAGAGAGTTACTTTAATGGATCAAAAATGAACTACTCGCAGGTAATTGTGCATACTGGCTCTGATCTATAATTTCTGCTCATGATTTGTTAAGAACCAGGATAATAATAACTCAGTGATATCAATTTAAGATGGTTATTGCTTGCTTCTTGCAAACCGTAACAGAAAAAATAGTTGTTTCGAAACCAATATGTTAAGGTTCATTTATTTATATTCTTCTTTACAAAGTTGATACTACGTCTCTTGTCACCACCGAAAATTTGCTAACACTTGCATGAGAGTTCAGATATGACACAACACTTAATTTCAATTATGCTGCTTTAATGCATACAAAAGTAACATCGATACAGTTTGCTTTCATTTAATGTGGGAACTGAATACTGACGAAAAGTACAGTTAAAAGCTAACATTTTGTTGTCAGCAGTGAAATTATATGTAGTTTCGATGCGCTCATACAGGTTTTAACTACCACAATATTATACCTCAGGCTTTTAACCCTTAAACTCCTATAAGTGATTAACATTTAACTTCTTCCCACAACATCCACACCTTACTTAGCCAACATGTTATTAGAATACTCAAACTTATCAAGTAGGAGTTAGTAGTCTTGATCTAACACCAAATTCTCGTGACTTATTTACAAGGAAATGTGTAGCAGCTAGAGGGGAGAATTAACAATCAGATCCTGAGAGTTAAAGGGTTAACAACCATAAGATTATTAAGGTATACCTTACCAAGTTATTGATGTAATATACAAGACCATTTGCAAGAAAAGGAAAGACAAAACTGATGAGTGGAAATAAAAAAGGAAAGCCTTCTCAAAGTTGAAAAGAAACAAGTTTTGCATTATAAGCTGAAGATACATTCAACAGTAAGCTACAAACATGCAAATGCCATCAACGTTCTGTTTATTCTCTGTATTATCAAATCACAATGGCGATGTCATCGATGGTTCTAAATTTCCAAACTTCTACTCAATTATCACGATAGTTATTTAAATGATTTCGGCTTACAAACTTGTATATACACGTGACGATGTCTATTTAAAATGTTATTTACTAAGCTTCGCCTGACTAGAATACAATACTTATGTACGTGAAACAAATTATGAGGCGAGGAGACCACTACAGCTTAGCTTACAGTGAATCCCTTGTTTAAGATTGGCAATAATCGACATTTTCTCCCAAATTTTGGGCTTTTCTTCACTGTTTGTGCAATGTAGGATTACAGAAAGTGCTTCGATGCCCACTTTACTAAGTCAATGTCACAATTAGTACAAAACCTATCTACAAGTGTTTTTTTTTTTGCACTATTACTGAACGTTTCACACAATGAACACTGGCCAGTTGGCCTGATAAGAAAATGATCGTGAAATTGAACTTAAAGCATACCCACGAATTATGATGCTCTTTGATCCGAATCTGTGGAACTACACGTATAGCTACTAGAGGTTGCTTTTTCCTGTAGCTTCGATGTTGTTGTTTTGGAAATACGATAGGCTGAGTATCGACAGATTTGGTTTAGATTGTTTTGAGCAAGGACTGTTTCTAACTCGAATCCATATTCCTGTGCAATTTGCAAAGCTTGACATCCATACTCTCTAGCCTTGGAGTAATTCCTCTTGAGGAAGCAAAGTTCCGATCTTGTAATTGCGTGTTTTATTCCTGCAGCAATCGGAATTTCACCGAGAAGCTGGGTACTTCTGTCAAATTCACAGAGAAGCTTTTGAGCTCTTGATGAATCCTTCTTGGGAATGATTTGACGATTGCCTTCTTGGGATGTGGCCATACTTGAAGGTAGGGCTAAACTTGCCAGATAGATTAGCGCAAAGCATTGTCTCGCCGAGTACAAATTTTCACTCGATAGATCTCTGAACCGGTCTATAGAAAGGCCAAGAAACCTTTGTGCCTCTGCTCGGATACACTCTTTGGATTTAATTTTGGCAAATTCCATGTTACAGCGCCCTTGTTCATGGGTGAGAATAGCTAGAGAAAACTTGGGTATGGTTAAATTCAAGCCTTTCAGCTTCACTGCACTTTCCTTAGCTTTCTCCAGGCATTTAAACGCTTTGCCTAGTTTCCTCTTGGGCTGGCGTCGAAATATGCTTGCCGAAGCAACATTTGCAAGAACTCTTAAAACATTTCGCAACGCTTCATTGAGTTCACTATTGTCTATGATGCTTACAGCTGCTTTTGCAAATTTTTTCGCTTTTTCTAGTTGTTTTTGATACATTAACCGCACACCATCTTCTATCAAGAGAAAACATTGAATCTCAGAATAGAAATTGTATTTGAAATTTAACTTCCCCAAAGCGTATTCAAATTCTTGCCATTTCCCTCTGTCGCGCAGAGGATACAAAATATTGATTATTTCGACCATTACGTCGAACAGTCTTTGACTGCGTGAATCAACTCCGCACAGTGGCAGTTGAAGGATTTCAGGTACAAGAGGAAACACCTGCGTAACGTTTCCTTGCAAGTCAACGAGGATCATTTGATCTATGTTCGATACATATATTTTGTTTCCTTCCCCGAGAAGAACCATATCGGATATGATGTTTTTATTTGCAGGTGAGCTTACTTGACGTTCTTGGTTAATGGAGGTCTGCTTCCCTTGTTCTTCAGTAGCATAAACAACCGAAATAGCGTCAAATCTTCCTCCTTTTGCTTGTATATTGATCGTGTTTTCGTTACCGATGTTAACGAATCGTGCACTGCAAATATTTATGTTGGCGTTCGTGTTTTTTTTCTGTGCGTTAGCTGTTCCATTCAAGGCCTCACCTCTACTTCCTCTCTGATTGCGGTTGAGTGCGTTTTCCCGTCTTCTACCAAAGCAGGACAATAAACTCAAAACATTTCCCATGGTAGGTGGACTGTATATTACTGTTTATCACTTCCCATGTGAGGTAAGAGAGAGAAAAGTAAGCACGATTTTAGCACTCCAACATAAATTAGAACTGATCCATATTGAGCGATTGTCATTTAAAAGCGAAGATCGCGAGTGGAGTCAAATGATTACGTCATGATGCGGTTAACCAATCCGTAATGTGTTTTTGTTATGGTGTGCTGAACATGACCAATGAATGTGTATTTATACTCAAAGTCACAGGGGAAAGGAAACATTACTGTGCATGACGTTACCTAATTATTTTCTTCGGGAAGGTAAACATTTCTTTACCCAAGAAACTGGACATAAGCATTTCTAATTGTTCGTGGACTCTCTAGTAGGAAATACGTCGTTTCTTTCTTTTTTCTCTTTTCACGTTTCTTTTTCTGGCGCCCCGCGGCGCGGAGGCAGAGTGGAGGCAATTGTTGAGACCACGAAATTTGCGGCAGCTTGGAAAATAGAGTGAGCAAACGGAGAAAACTTTAACTACAATGTTGGCGGTTTTCATTGTTTTGAACTTTTGGCTTTATAGTGCTCATCAAATTGTCCAATATGTGCAAACATAGCTTGTATCGTCTAGGAAGTGTTGAGTGTGAATCTTTGTTATGCAGTTGCATCCGATCATTTGGCAATGCAACAATCCCATCGTTAGGGAGATTTTGCATTGAATTTTATGAAACAACCCATGCAAAGTTCTCAGACTACAAAATATTGAAGCGAATGTTACTTGGTAAATTCTTTTATAAACTCTGCTCAAGTATATAAGGTAACGTTTTGAATAGAAATTCTCGTTGCCCTGGTCTCTCTACTTCTTGCCCGTAACCCCAACAATTCACAATTACTTGACACTGAAACGTGGATGTCCTGCATTGTCCTGAGTTTGAGGATGACACTTGACTTTTGTAAAGATATTTCAATGCACTCTGGCAATGAGGGGAGCTAATTGGAATGAGTCTAATGAAAGGTAACCTCTGTGTCGTTATTACCATAAAATGCAATTAACTGCTGTTATGTAGACTTGAAATTCACAGAATCCTTTCTCCACTGAAAGGAACTTTTGTCGAAGTCTTGACTGGTTGTTGCCCGAGTGAGGTATTCCTGAGCTGGTCATATCAATTACATATTTTGGTAATTCCTCCGTGTTTTCATCTATCAACTTTACACGAGTGATATTACAGTTTGGAAGTTCATCTATAAAAGCTTTAAGAAACGAAGTGACTCTTAAGCTTACTTAATCCTCAGAATGGATGTGTTTAGTTACATTGTCAGATTTTGAAGTCTTATTTCTCTAATATTCGGTTTTTCCAAATGCGAATTAGTTCTGTAATAATTAATCAACAAAAACTATGTTTGTATCAACCAAATACACACTTTTATTTGGTTGATATTACATTTACTACAAGTACATTATAACTTAAGTAGTAGAGACCTTCTCTGATCATGGGAGTCAGAAAGTAGTTTTTTAAAATCTTTGGATTGTTGCTTTCTAAAATTCCAAAAACTGAATTGTCAAAAAGTTTCATAGTTCTTAATGATTGAAACGACCTAGTTATCGCAATCAAGTAAAAATGAAGTGCAAGAAATTTGTTGTTGGTGCTATGTTCGTGATACATATTAACTAATAGTCAAATAAGTGGCTCAGCTGAATAACAACTTCTTCCTTCTTTGCGAAAATTTCAAGGACAAGTTTTAACGTCAAACCGATGTGGTATCGAAAATATCTGTTTTTCGTGGTAAGTGTGCTGTTTATATACATCTGAGTTTTCCCATAAAGTCCAGTTAAGTGCTTGTGAGGGAAAATGTCAAGGGTAATGTCACTTTAAATGGGACATTTAGGTAAAGTTGTTTGAAACCCATAGGTGTCAGTTTAAGAGGGCACTTGCTTTCAAAATTACCCTTTCTTTTGGCAGTGAATGGTATATTATGAAAATTAATGACCTCAGCTGATTGACCAGTCTTTTTTTTTTTTTTTCCATTTCATTTCAAGCTAGGAGGCATTTTTTTGAGTTACATCAGGGCAAAAGAGACCAAAAAGCAATTTACAAACAACGGAGGGAAGGAGGAAGAGGGGGAATGGAGAAGAGGGAAACCTCTCTCCCCACCCCTGATGGGAAGGCTACAGTATGAAACAGTGACTTTCCTATCAAGGTCCTAAACTGAGTTTGAAGGAGTGTTTTCTCATCTTTCTATGGTTGTAAAACATGGATCAGCACTACTGGCGTTTCAAACATTTTTAATCTCTTATCTAAGGCTTAAAACTAATGTTAGGCAATTGTTAATAGAATGAGTGTTAAATTAGATGTACTTGTAGATGCGTTTTCTATCGTTTCTGCAGCCTATTTAGACCACTCCCAATAATTAGAGTTGAAAAAGAAAATAGACAAAAGTAAACAAGAAGTTATAATTGGTGTGCAAAGGCACATGGTCAAGGATTGATCTTGTGTCACCAGAAGTGTCCAAATGCATCTTATTTCACTTGGTATTTAGAGGTGGTTCATTTTCATGGCAAGCACCCAGCTAGGAACCCTATATTTTTTATCAATCATACTCATTCTCAATGCTTGAGAGCCAACTCTGACATACTGGTCAGCAGGGTACAGGTACTAAATGACCTGTCTAACTTGATAAAAACAAATCTTTTCTTTCCATTTCTTAGTAGCAAGAGTATTTGCTTATACACGAATTGGCACACATTCTTTTTTTATGAGACAATAATACCAATTGCCTAGTTAAGTTCAAATGAATGCTAATAAAACTTAATATGTTGACAGGGGGAACAAAATATATTTTGTGTTGTGAAAGTTATCCCTTTCTTCCCAAGTCGTTCCTTTTTTCATTCATAAAATTAATATACTTTTTATTTGCAATTGCAAAATGGAATTGAAGCTGCAGAGGAACATGAATATTTGAAGACATATGTGGCAACAAAGAAAAATTAATAGAAAGATTTCTGCAGAAAGCCTGGAACCCAAAGAAAAACATTAACCAAGTACTGCTAGCTGCCTGCACTGTAGAAGCTTGGCCCTTGCTGCTGGTGCTTATCCCTTAGGATTAATTATGGTAATAGGACAAGTGATTTACAAAATTGGATAACCAAGAAGCAGGAGTCTGGTGAAAGTTATTCACATGTATGATTACAGACCAAATTGGACAACATTGGTCGCCATTTTCAAAGACAAACAAAATCTTTCTTTACGCTGTCAGCGTTCTAGATAGACCCTCCAAAATTAAGTTAGGGAAAAGATCTTTAACGTGCTACAAAGTGGACACTAGGATGGATGATATACAACTTTCAGGCTCATCTAAATCCAAGATGGCGTCTAGTTATCAATCGAGAAGCACGTGCTACGTTTTAGAAACAAACTTAATGAGGAAGTTTGCCGCGGATTTATCTTTGCAAATCTTTTTAATTCACTATATCTCTTGGTAAGGTTATGATGAAACGTTCTAGTCGCCAATTTGGCGACTAACTTTCAGGATTTGGTCGCCAAAGTGAAAAATTTAGTCGCATTGGCGCCTGTATTAGGCGCAATTTCACGCCCTGATCAATCGCATATTTTGGTAATTCCTCTATGTTTTCATTTATCCACTTCACACGATTGATATTACAGATAAGAAGATCATTCACAAAAGCTTTAAGAAACGAAAAGACTCTTAAGCTTACTTACATTGTAAGATTTTGAAGCCTTATTTCTCTAATATTTTTTCACAGACTAACAAAATTGCATTTTGTGGTCTTAAGTTTAAATTTACAAGTGCTTATTTACGCCAAATTTCTAGAGGAAAATCATGTGATTACGTCTTAATAATATACATGAAAAAATACGAGATACCTTATCATAATTATGCAGAAGCAAAGCGCTCGCATCAAGTGCAGAAATAATGTATTCGAACCCAGCAAGTGACATTGTGCGTTCGGTCAAAACAACAATATACAACCGGCTCCAAAGCTTCCATCACTATTGTATCAGTATAAGACATCTTCTCACTGCAAGCTATGTCTTTCTTTTCGACCAGGATGAAAAAGTACAGTTCTGCATTGCTCTTGCTTGCCATTACTACACTATCCGCGGGGACAATGCATGGTGAAATGCATGGTGAAGTTCTCAAAACTGCCACTGTCTAACTCGTATGCAAACCATTAGAAACATCTTACGCACTACTTCTAGTTTGCTCCAAATTGGGTGAAATCCTCCCCTCGATTGCTGTAACTGGTTATCCCGATTCCCAGAAACGGTATCTTCATCATTGTGTCTTGAAAGATTGCTCAAAGTCGTGTTCGTAACCGACGACTCGCCGTCATCACGGATTGATGAGGGTTCTTGAGAAGGTGTCGAATTTCCAGAACGGTTGTCATTCACGGTGTTGTGATCACCGATTACCACGGTTTCAAATTTGGAATTGTCAAAACTGAATGAATATTTACTGATTTGTGCCGGTGAGTGAGGTCGGAAACCCGCCGCCATTTTTCTGCGAACGATCGACGTCACAGGGTTATTTTTGTATTTACCTTAACTGCGTAGGGTAACTGGTAACAAAAGAGATCAACGGTTGAGTTATTGAAAGTGAAAATGGGGGAAATTTTTATAATGGTATGGTGATAATTTTCTGAATTTGGCCCATTTGGGCCGTTGTTTTACACACTTTTGATAAGACTGGCGAATCACTCACAACTCAATCGCTTTTATTGAGCTAAAAATGGGCTGCAAGTAAGTTATTTTGCATCCTTGTTTTGTGATTGTGATTCGATCAAACCGTCAGATTAATTGTTATTATGTTAGCACACTGTTACTTTTAAAAGACGTTTACTGCAAAACTTTAAAGAAGAACCAAATTTAAGGCAAAGATCGTGGGTTAAATTTAATCGTAACATTTCATGAGTGCGTTCACTTCCGGTCTTTCTTCGACACCAATATTTGATATGTGACAGTCAACTTCGTTGTGACGCAACACTGTTGCATCAACCCTAAATTTGT